TTAAAAAATTCGATGACGAGGAACCCACTTTGAGACTAATAATGGCTGGAGATGGCTTAAATGGGGAATGAAGAAAAACTTTAATATAAGTTTAACATGACAGCAAATGTACATTTGCTTTGACAAGGTTTTGTCATCATCAGGTCGTCAAGTGTCACCTGATGATGACAAAACCTTGTCAAAACGTTGTACATTTGCTGTCATGTTAAACTTATATTAAAGTTTTTCTTCATTACCCATTTAAGCCGTCTCCAGCCATTATTAAACAACAAAAATGTTTCTTTAAAGTAAAAATTTAATTTTATTCCATAGAAAGTGTAAAATAAAACGTTAGGGACCTCAAGGACTGCAATTTGATAATTATACATGAATCATGGGTACGGACTACATTTTTATGGATTTTCTGTGTCTTTATTTGGTCTTGAAACAATACTTTGGATTCTATTCTGTGTCCTTCATCAAGTCTGATTTAAGCAAAGATTGGAAATTATTAGAAAAAGAAAAAATATGACCCAAGTGCCAAATAACTACCTGAATCCACTTTGAAATAGGAATTATGTAAAATACATAAGTTACTTTTTCATCACACAAGATACTCTAAAACAAAATATGTTTGAAAGTAGAATCTAGGGAGCTGACAGTTATCCTCAATATAATGTATTTAAATTCTAAGACTATTTCTAAACCTGATCAAATAGACCCATTAACATTTTTTTTTATTTTCTTGTTCAAAATCATAAAATTAATGTTACATGGTTTTAACTTTGTAATACATTTCCAAGCTGTCTGGAATTGGCTCAGTGACTGTTAACTGTAAATGTGATATTTTATTTTATATGTAAACCATCTGTATTCTTTGTTGTTTCAATATGTGAGAAGTTTTTATTAACTAATTGCTTTTGTCCCAAAACAGTTCTAGAATATACATTTATTGTTATGAGATTTTGTAAAAGATCAGAAAGGGAGAGTAAATACATATTGACAAACCCTTTTTCAGCTTGTAATGATAATTGCACTGGTGTTTTATTGGATGACATGGAGTTTCTGATGAAGATGGTGAATGAAACTAAGGTCTCTAATGTGATACTACCCCCTTGGGGAATACTTTTGGATATAGATAACATGACGTATCATTTACAGGTAAACACTCTTTCGATATTTGTTGTCCCTTCTGAATTTTATCTTGCAACACCTAAAATAAATAAAAAAATTATGGTCCTACAGTTATGAATCTTCATGAAGGAATAGTGATAGTTTTAAATGGATGAAGGTAACCTATATTTCTGACATTGAATGTTTTTTTTTTAGAAGATAAAGCACTAAATGCTCTTTTGTGGTTTTCACTAGGTTTAAGATGATATAAGGATGGTAGAAACATAACTACTAATAAAGAATATTAAAACAGTCAGTAGCCTGGACTAGGTTTTCTTAACTGAGATTGGAAATATATGTCACTTGTTTCTGTGACTTACTTGACAATAAGACTGTTAATAATTCTTAACAAATCTATATTTACTGGCCTTACATAGGTCTCCAGTAAGAAGAATATAATAGGCCAAAAAAGAAATATTTGTTAGAATCATCTTTTCTAATATGATGCAATTAACAGTAAGTTAACCACATTATATCTACTATATCCAGTGCTGACAAGGTATTTTGCCCAATACCAAAGCTCATCAAGTGGACTGGGATAGGACAGACAGTAGTAGTTGAAACATTATTTATGTTATCAAATTGCATGAACAGCTGTTATGGTGTGAACTACATTCAATTGGTGAAGTTCATTGATTATGAGTTTTATATTAGTCATTTACAAATCAGAATTGGGGTAAGGATTAATAACACAATACTATATTGTTATTTTAACACTAATTAATTATTACTATTTATTTCTCCTATAATTAACTTCACTTATTATTTAGAAGAACTGGCAAACCAGCAAGCTAATTGTATTGTTCCCATAAACCATAGATCTGTAGATCACATTTTGTTATCAAAAATTGTTATGTGCCTTAATAACTGACATCTTATAAACAGTTGAGATAAATTGCGTTTTGATGGAGATTTGTGTATTGTATGCTAAGCCAATCTGATGTGCTCTGATATTGAATGAAAGGCCTCATTTAAAGTGGTGTGTAGTTGAGATACTGTTATATTCTTGTAATGGAAACGTACATAAGGTCAGAGTAGAGAATGATTATAATTTTTAATTAAACCTGGCTTATTTTGATGTAATGTCATACAAATTGCCAATCTGTGAATCTTGCTTTGTAAGCATAAGACATTATGTACCATAATAGATGAGATTGGAAATATATTGTGAAGCAAAAATATATACATGAGAAAAACAACAACTTTGTATACACCATTTCTGAATCACTCAGGTTCAGGTTGATGCATACCAGGATGCTGTAAATCGTGGCCAGAAACTTCTTGGTAATTTTTCCTACTATTTTGATTTGGAAACTTGGGCAGGCAACTTACATTTACGGGTAAGCTTTATCACCATCAGTGACTAATCCACCAAAAGCTGGACAGCAAATTAGTTAATTAAGTTCTGGTAATTGCAATAAAATAACAAAAGTATAAATCAAATATTTAGACATGTCATTGTTAAAATTAGAAAAAGAATTAATAGCAATAGAAAATATGTAAATACATGAATTTTACTGATCCTGGGTAACTTTAAATGTTTAAAAACTGAGTATGTATTTTGTGAAGTTATAACTTGTAAATAAAAATATTAAGATGATACTATGTTCTTCAGTGATGTATTAGGTTGTGTAAATTAAGATCCTTTTCAACTTAGTTGAGTGTTTGTCACTGTAATGTAACATATATGTTCAAAAAATCTTTAGCTGTCAACTGATGTTTAATGTCTATATTGGTCATTCTATGTATAAGGTAATTTTGTTGGTTATTTGTATTCTTGAATATTTTTTTTTATTAGTCCATCAGCTGTTAGTTACATTGGTGATCAGTTATATTTAGTAGCTGATGGATTTATTTACTTACTTTTCACTGTTTCCTTATTTTTCCAACCAAATATAAACACAGTTATATGACTGTTTGATTTTTAATGTTTTGTCAGTGTGTGATTTTATTATGTAATGGACTTGAGAACTGGAACTAAAAGTTATAATAAATTTATATCAAAACAATAAAAAAAAAAATGGAACAAATTATATTTCTTCATGGCATTGAACAGGCTAAAGGTGCTGTAAATGAAGCAAGACCTATTGCTGATGATGCAAACAAAATTTTAGAAAGTTCCAGAGAGCTTCTCAATCTGATAGAAAAACTTTGGGATGATATTCTGAGTAAGAAATAGTTGCTGTTTCATACTTTCAGTTGATATTATGTAGAAATTTTTAATGGTTTTAGTGTTAAATGCTTTAGTTTCAGTAGACATATGGGAAAACTTTAAGATGATTGAAATTCACAATTTTAAGGAAAGATTTTCTGCTATAATTTTCAAAACAATATTACCTTTATGTAAAAGACTTAACTAAAGTTTTATGATTCAAATGTGATGATTCATAGGTTAATGTACATAGCATATGTTTCATTTTGTTGTTGTTTTATGTACTTTGAATTCACAATTATAGCACTAAAAGCAAATAATAAAAGTTCTATGCAAGTCAGTGTTAAAAGGTATTTTTATACCTAATTTGTTTGTAACAAGTAGTATAATATACAATTATATTGTAGGATTTGTTTCAGTTAATAAATAAAGAGAGTAAAACTGAGGTGTTTCTTTGTTGCCACATGAAGATAAGATTACAATATTGTTTTAAGAATAGTTTTATGTAAATGACATTCAGAAATTTGTATGATTAGGATACAGTATTGTTTTAGGTACAATTTTATATCAACCAAGTTTCAAGTAAAATCATATTATTCATATTAACATCAATTTAAACTATTCTTGTTATTAGGTTTACATACAAATAGTTCAACTTTTAAATGACCTTTATTGTATTTTCTGTTTGTACCAGCAAATCTAACTAGAGTTTAGACACAAACGATCCCTGATTTAATTTTTCATGGTGTACTTTAATTGTATCATGTGCATTGGATGGTAGTTTATAAGGCTTTATTCTTATTTTTCTGTAGATACTGTTCAAGAACCAAAGAATTATGGTTTAGACCCATCTAGACCAAGAGTTAGTTTAGATGAGATGCTTAGAAAGGCTGAAGAAATTTTGCAAGAGATTAGAGCACGAGACTTTAGCCCCATCAGTCGTAATGCTAAGGAGGAACTTTGGTAAGATGGAAAAATCCCACATATTAAAATCACAATGCTGTATAAAACTTTTGAGCCAAAAAACCATATTTAAGGTAACATTCAAGAAGTAATATCTAATAATTTAGTTTTCTCAAAATTGTTTTCTAAGTATGGCATTCATGCTCAAATTTTCTAAATATATATTTCAGAAACAATGGTATTTCACTTATATAATACCCTATGTTTGTGAGTACATTTTTATTCAAATGAGTTTCTTCACATTTGGTTTGAAACTTCTGAAAGAAATGTTATCAAATCTAATTTTAATTATTTTTTTTCTGTAATATAAAACTTCCTGTTATTTTTGTTTGAATACATCGGTAAGAAATATCTAAATTACAAGACTTGTTAATGAAATGTAATAACTTTGCAAACAGTAAATGTCAGGAACACAATTTTATCTACTAGTTTACACTTTACTGTTAGTATAGCCTTTTTTTTATGTTCCCCTCATATTTCAGACTGTTGTATTTAGTTTCATGTTATAGGGTAAAAAAATAAGTTATCATTGTTTAACTTTTGACTTTAATATTTGTCCCTAATGCTTACACAAGCAAATATAATAATAAAAAACAAGTGCTTCACCCTCCACTCCCCCTCCCATCACAACTTTATGTAGTTGATAACTTATAATTTTTCAGAAAAGTATGAAGAAAGCCTACTAATCACTAAAATTAAATTTCGTAATGAAATATACAACATCATAGTATACATTGACCAGTTTATATCAATAAAAAAGCAAGATTAAACAACTGAATTACATTATCTTTTGTGTTACTTATAAGAAATGGTAACAGAATATTCTTATATAGATAAATAAAATCCTGTAAAACTCTTAAGTGGCTTGCTAATATATCATTTCTTTCATCTGAAACAAAATGTATTCACTGATAGAGAGCATCTGCTTAAGGAAGTCTTGGAAAGTAAACTGAAAATATTTACTAGTGAATAAAATGAAACATTTTCCAATTATATAGTTAGCATAGAGTTGCAGTTGTGAGAGTATTTAGGAATTCTTTGCCACTAAGTATTTTTGATTATATTTCATCTGTCCAATCTTAAATATTTTATAAAACAACTGAGATCCATTAAATTATTCTGATGTCAGTTTATCTCATAATGCTTAATAGATTAGTTTCAATATTTAGATTAAATGTCACCCCTAAAGCATTACAATGTAAAAAGCAGGGAGCCCACAAATAATGTCCCATTATTGATGAATTTTACTAATAATGATAGTCATAAACCAGTTTTAAAGTTTGTTATAATATTCTATGGAATAGAAATGACTACACTATGGTGAAGTATGCATATTTTGAGTACTTGTGATTCATCACATGCAAATAATTGTATTGTTTTCTTTATATATTGTGTAATTTTTTTAATAACAGGATTTTTGTTTTTGTAGTTGCATGTGGATTATTTATTGTGATTGGTGGGAACTTTGTACTGGTAGTTTTTCTTTGACTGCAGTTATTTATTTTTTGTTTTTATTTTATGTTTGACAGCTTTGTAATTGCAGGTTTTATTGTTTACTTGGCAACATATAGGTTTTAACTACAACTCTGAATACACTGTGTATCTTCACAAAACTTGTCAAGCTTTTAGTAAACACTACAAGTCTATTGTATGCAAAAAAAATCAAATGTTTTTTCGTTTTTAGCACAGTACTTTTGCTAAAGATTTATCTGTAAATTTACAAAGTCTTTACTGAGTCAGTCTGAGTGAAAGGTGATTTTCATGTTAGGAATAAAAATACTTGTTTTCATCTTAAAACTTGCCTTAATTAATATCAGAAGTTTATTTTTGGTAAAACTTAGTAGTAGAGTAGAGAAAATAAGATAAAATACAAAGTGTAATGAAATTATCAGTGTAGTAGAATGAAAGGTCTAAAATGAAATTAATAATATCTTTTCTTTTTTTAATCCATAATTGACTTAAGACTTTTAAATTACTTATCTTCACAGTTTCAGCTGTTACTCTTTTCATATCAGTTTTCTTTTAATTTTATTGCTTTGTCAAACTTTGTTCTGGAGATTCTGTTTATCACTGTAGAAATCAAGGTAGGAGTTCATATCTCTTTTTTTTCCCATATAAGGTAAACAAACCAATTAGGTTATTTCTGTGAACTCATTTTCCTAAGTGCATCAAACTTTATTTTTGTTATCTGATTTAAGAAGATTCTAAGTTTTACATTTTAGTTACTTTTGTTAAAAAAAAAAGTATTACAAGTATTACTTAAAAAAAAAAAACAGTAAACATAGTACTTCTTCCAGGTTCCAGGCATTTTGCTCTCAGAATGGCAGTCTAATTTAAATCTTAAATGTATATCAGTCACCAGAATAGAATGTCCCAAAACTACTATAATTTACCTAGCTTTCTAAGTTAGAAATATATTCAAAATTCTGGTAACAGCTCAAATTTGACAAAGAATTTTAGCTCAAATTTCTACGTTTGTCCACCAAAAGAAAACAACAAATGCATTTTGTGTAGAGAATATTCTGAGAAGGTAATAGGCACTTATATATAAGTAGAGATATTATATTATATTAAAGTTGTTATATTGAAAATATAAAATCTAAAGGGGAGAATTCAGAGCAGTGTGTCACATTACAGAGAGAAGTGAAGATTGAAAATTTTGAAAATATATTTTTTTAAATTAAGAAATTAAAACTTAAATAATATACAAATTTGTACTGCAAACTGAACTGTGATGCCAAGTTTATATCAATACATTGATCATCAAGTTGTTTAATTAGATTTTAAATGTAACTGTACAATGTTATGACGTACACATTTTGATCCATCTGTATGCATATGATTAATATGATATCTGGTATTTCTATTAATAGTAGATTTTTCTGTTTTTTTTAGTAAAGTGTGGCATATTATATTTTATTATGATGGCTGAAAATTTTGTAATAGTAAGTTTTTTGTTTTCTGGGCAGTGTGTGTGATATATTTATTTCATTTTAATGTGATCGGTGGGAACTTAGCAATAGCAAGTTGTTTATTTTATTGGAAATGTGTGTGTGTGTGTGTGTATGACATGTTCTTTGTCTTTTAAGATGATAGCTGGCAAATTCATATTAATATATTTTATTGTTTTCTTGGCAGTGTGGCATATTTATTTAGTTTTTCTCTGATGTTAAATTTCTTCTAATAATTTGTTTTCCTTTGTTTTATTGGCAGATGCAGTACATTTACCAACCTTTAAACAAATGTTCTTATTTGTTGATAGACATGTCAATATCTTTTAGTAAGTTGTTAAACAGTATTTCTGCTATTTGAAATACAATACACATCAGGCATTGGTAATTAAGAAAATTATTATTAAGCCTAAGAATATTCTTCTATGTCATTGTGGCTATATTTCTTTAAAATGACAGGAAATGTATGTGATTGTCACTGTTGTTTTAAAGTCTTATTATGTGTGTATTTTTCAATGCTTTCAGGAGAGCTAATATACTTCTAGACAGAGTGAAAGGATTTAAAATGGATCTTCATGAAGTTGATGGGCTGCAAAAACGCTTGGATCAGCTAAAGGGGCTCCTAAATGAAATGTTGAATATTATAAAAGAGGAAATCCAGAAACCAACAGAAAAAGCAAGAATTGCTGCACAGTCAAACAGGTTGACTCAAAATCAAATAAAGGTGAGCATGTTGTGATGTATTTTGATGTATGCTTTTTATTCTTAACCCCACCTCTAAAAATTCTATTTTGTGCAAGACTCATTCGTTGATAGTGATTAAATATATTTTATACAAAATATCAAGTGAGGAATAAGTTATTTACATATAATAAACTTTCAAATGATCTTCTTCAGTTTCAAATTAACTTATGAAAAAATACATTTTGACTTTGTTTGTGATAATCAAACAATGAAATTTGCTTTTAATTTAATAATAAAATGTCAAAACTGATAAGATATTATTACTAGAGCAAATTACTTGCTATTGTAGAAACTGTTTGTTTTTTCTCTCTCTCCTCAAAGTTTGATTCAGTTGAATAAACTTCATGTAGCTTGCAGAACCTTGTCAGTAAACTGTTTGTACTATTTTTCGAGAGACAGGTCATTGAGCATATATATCTGAAGTTTTTTGTTGTTTTTTTCACATTTGTTACAGGTTAGACACTAGCTTAGAAGAAATAAATGTTAAACATTGACCCAGTTTTACTTCTGTTGAAATACAATGGCAGATTTTTCATTTTTTGCTGTTTTGCAATAAAAAAAACAATCTGGAGATGCTGTATTTTTCAAACAAAGTTGTTGTTACATAACGAAGTCGATTCACCAAAACAAACTTCAATTACAAATGAATGGTCTACTTCTTCCTTTGTTGGGTTAACTTACCTGAGCAGAAAACCAACATTTTTTAGGCACAGTGAAAGATAAGATCTTTGTGCCAAAAAATGTCAGTTTTGTGTTTTTCACTCTTAATACAATGTGCCTGAAAAAACTATAAAATTAAGATTGTTTATTTGTGATTAGTTTGTTTCATTAAAGACTTTTCAAAAAGAAATTTTCTTTACTGTATAAAAGTACATGAAAATATAAGCTTTAAAGATGAGTTCCGAATGTTTTACTGTGGCTGACCAAGTGGTATACTACGTCAACTTTAGGAGGATTTAGAAGACAGTGTAAAGATAAAGCATTCTGTTAGCACAACATTATCAGAAGCTGAAGGACTGGTGAACCTGGCAAAACAAGCACTCAGTGATGCTATTCTGAAATTTAAAGTTAGTATTTTGTTTTTTTAATTTGATTGATTAAAGGTAAAGTAGAAATTTCTAATAGCAGCAAAGTGTAAACCATTTGTTTTACTTTTTTGTATACAAATTAATATTCCTTACTCTGGTTAATACCAGAGTCTATACATTTGGGATTGTGATTTTCTAAACAAAATTTACTTTGAATATTAAAATTAAAAAAAAAACAGAATCTTTTGGCATATGCATTGATATATCTAATGGTTCTGACTTGCTTCCATATAGTTTACTACCAGTATTGCCCACCTACTGTATCATATTGAATAATCTTATTTTTGCCTGTTATAACACTGTAAAGAACTGACCAAAGACAATGGATGAAAGCACTTTTCTATGTAAAATATATTAGAAACTTGCAACAGTAAATTGTAAAATGAAATGCAATATTGATGGTAATATTGTTTACATTTTGTGCTGTTAGAGGCTTTGTAACCAACAAAGTCATAAACCCAAAACAAATTTGGTGAACAAATAATTTATAAAAATGAGTTTAAAAATCTAATAAGATTTGTAGGAACCAATTTTTTATTCTATTCAAACTATAAGAATGTTTATCTGTTTCTAGTGAGAGCTTTGTATTAAATTAATGCTGATGTTTATAGCCAACAGTTAAAAGTTTAAAGTATTTAAATAATATATTTCTGATATTTCAGAGAATTCATGCTGGCAATTCATTGATGTAAGGTTTGTAAAAAAAAAAACAAATAAAAACCCTTTTGTATGTATATAGTCCAATGTTAAGCTGATTTTAGTTTATAGTCTAGTATTAAAAGTTTGTGCCATTAATTTTTTTATTTTTCCTTATTTTTAATAGGAACTTGCTAGATTACAATATGAATTTTTAAATGCAACTGAGAATGTAGAAGAAAAACGTGGGATCCTAGCTCTCCTGAATCCTAAATACAATGAAACTTTTGTTGTTCCTGCACAGAAACATGCTGAGGACTTGCGGAAACAAGCTCAGCAGCTACAGGAGTAAGTTGGAACAGATTTGAGATGTTCTAGAGTAACTCACAGCTTCTGATAATATGGGTAGGTAATATATTATCTCATTTTTGATTATTGGCTACCAGAATATTACCCTCAGTCTCTTCCAGAAAAGCATAACTTCAGAAAAACTAAAATGTTTACAACTGCAGAGCCATACTAGTAGTCAGTGCAAGCCACTGAAGTAAATGAGTTAATCCTTTTCATGTCTGAAAAGCATATAAAGGCAGCATTTAACTCCAGTTTCCTGTGGCATGTTCCACTTGGATGGGCTGAATGCTAGTCCATTACAGATTAATTCCAGCTACGTGATGGTATTTATTATACAGCTGAGTAAACTGAAGGAAATGGGGTAAAGTGTCTTTCTGCAGGACACAAAAATAACACTGGTAAGTCTCAGTCTTGCAACCTTTTGCCTACAAGTGCAAAACACTAATCACTAGGCCATGCTGCTCCCTACCTAATGAAAATATAATATAATATTTAATATAATTTTAACTTAACAGCAAATGTACAATGTTTCGACAAGGTTTTGTCATCATCAGGTACTTGTATTAAAGTTTTTCTTCATTACCCATTCAAGCCGTCTCCAGCCGTTATTAGTCTCAAAGTGGGTTCCTCATCATCAAAGTTTTATTGGATGTTTTATTTTTTACAAAACATGAAATATTAATTTTACAATCATTCTAAAATTTTCTGCTAAAATATTCAGATAAGAAAACAACAAGAGTTAATGCTATTCAACATTTGTAAATCATCATAAAAAGATAAGGTTAAATTTTGTCATGGAAGTTATTTTTTTGTACTCTATTAATTCAGAATATCCAAAATTATTCATTTAGACATGGTTTTGCAAGACTTAAAAGGAATCCCTCTGAAAATAAAATATTAATAGATATTTCCAAAATGCATACACCTCTTGGAGAAGTACAATTTTGATCTGGATTAATGGATACAAAACCAAATATATGTAATATTTAAATAATTTAAAAATTTAACAAGGTTCTAAGACTTTTTATTTACATCTGCATATGAAAATATATAATTCTTGTATTCATTATAATTTTATTTTAAAATCAAAATACCTGATATGAAAATGTGTGCTCTTATGTAATATTCATTATTATTCATGTACTTGAAATTTTACTTCTGATTGCTACAAATAAATCTTGAAACAGTAATGTAACAACACACAGATGACAATTTATTGATTTTCTGGGAAACTAAGGTTGCTATGGTTTCACCAACAATTCTAAATGTTTTCATTCTTCATATAAGTCTCTGTATATAAATTCTGTATATTGCTATTTTATATGTTATTTCTGTGTCGGATGCAGGCATTTGAGTTTCAATTAATGCAAAGGGTGAAAGTTCAGTTTTAGTCCTAACTAAGCAAGTTACTTTCCTATGATAAAAACCTTTATCAGCCATGATGGCATCCCTTTCAGTAATATAAATATTAGTTTTTAAATCTTTAAGCAAGTCGCTTTGTTCTGCATATGCTTTGTCCAAATTTGAACCTGTAAATAATTCAGATACAAATGTCAGAGATCCATTTGACTCGCTTGTTAAACATAGTAATGTTTTATTTGATCTGTAGTCAGTTAAATTTAAGTTCCATCAAGCATTGCTTAAGTTGTTGAAAATTCTTTTTTGAAGATATTTTGGGATACTGTTAATGATTTTATCTCTATGCAGCCAAATATAGAATTGTCCAAATATTAAATACAGGTATTCAATCCAAATGTTGAAGACAATACTACTTTACTGTGTTGAAAGTTCAAACCTCATTGAAAGATCTTTCAGTCCATAGCCGTGCCTAAATCTGCACAAAGATAGAAAAATATCGTCTTGTAAGAAAAGGATTTTAATGTCTCTTATTCCACTTTCTTATTGTAATGTGTAGAGCTGAATGATTAGTAGAATTAGCTAACCAATTAATTATGAGGATCATTAATTGATTACATTCATCTACTCAATTGTTTTCATGAGATGGCTAAAATAATCATTGATTGTTCTCACATGAATTAACTAGAAAAGAAAAAAATTATAACACTACAAATCAGGTTTTTATAACCACTTGTGTAGCTTCATACTTAACAACAAACAAATATAATAGCATTATTTTAGTAACTTAGATAGTTGGAAACCCTTATTTTGATTAGTTAATTATTTTCATGAGTTGTGTCACTAATTGATTAAGCTTGGCAAACTTGAATTAATCAAAATCATAATAGCAGTGTTTTTTACTGGATATTGGAATAATCTAAAACTATAATAATCATAAACACTAATTTTGATTAGCAGATTATTTTATGTAAAACTAATTGATGTAATCAATTCTCATGGGTGATTAATTATATTGAGGTAATCACCCAGCTCTAGTAATGAGAATCTTTGGGGTATAATAAATGTTAATGCAAAAATTTGATGTATGTTATACTTGAACAGGCCCTTTAATTTTTCTTCTTTTATCTCAGCATCTACATCAAAAATTGGGAATTTCTATGTCTGTTTCTGAGGTTAATTTCTCTTCCTGTAGCTCATTCTCTGCAGTCTTTCAATAATGTCACTTTGTTTCTTGACTTGACTTTGAAGACAACAAATCTTATCAGTTAGAACAACTAATTCCAGTGGTGAAGCACATAAAAAGATATAATTAAAATATAATTAGATCTATATATATCAGCATATCATAAATAGTAATTAGCATACTGATAATTTCTCTGATCCTATATGCATGTGTTAATTTCAATACTCCAACTCAACCACGTCCAAAAATAAGTAGGTCTCTGAAAGGTGTGGGATGTAATTCTATTTGATTTAACAACAACTTGAACATTAACAGTCTTTTGTCTGTAAATGTGATAGAAATATTTTAATAGTGAAAACAGTAAATTTAACACAAAACAAACTTTACTTTCTTAAACAGCATGTATATTATGTAATAACTAGCTATACTACGTGAATTACAAATAATATTAAGCATAAAAAATATTTTAAAAAGGAAATTTCAATTTTTTTTTCATTTTGGTATATTTTCTTATCACAAGCAGATGACATAAATGAAGAAATTGATGAATCTCAAATAAACAATAGCATTCATCCTGAGGAAAAATGCAAGTTTATGTTTCTTACTTAAAGGCCACATTTTTTTGTCCAAAAAAATATTTCTGAAGCATCTTTTTCATGTATGGAAGGTCTGTTAAAATGATTCCACAAAGACATCTGTTTTTGTAAATTTAATAAACATACAGAATTCAGACCCAGTTATCATGAACTTGTGCATAATAACTATTGTTTCTTTTTAATATAAAAGAGCAGACATAATATTTTTTTCAGGAAAACTCTCGGTAACAGATCACAACTCTGGTTTCACAAGTAATTCATCGTTATGTATGGACATTTGATTATAATTATGACAATTTTCCATCTCGTTACGGTCCACATTTATGTAAACGTCTCTAATGGTTTCTTTCAGGTATGAGGTATTTTACTTTTGAATTTCTTTCATTCCCTCTTCCCATACTCAGTGAAGCAACCTTAGTTTTAACTTTTTAACATACTATAAAAAAAAACTCTAAAGGGAACAGTTTTCTAGTTAAATCTGTTCCAAAGTTTGATGATGCAAGCTTCTTTGCTCTTTTTTCTTTCAACCATAACTCATATCTTCCTTTTTCTCTGGTTGGAATATCCAATTGCTCTAGTTTCAAATTTTTTTAAATTCTGGTGGTAGTTAAACTGGTGCAGGTAAAAGGAGTGTTTTCAGCCCACAACCACAGTCTGTTGAAGGTTTGGTAGTTTTAATATTTATTTTCTGAAATATAATCACAGAATTTTAGTTTGATAAGCATAATATTTGGAGTTTTTTCCAAAAATAACTAGGTCTCTGAAAGGTGTGGGATGTAATTCTATTTGATTTAACAGCAACTTGAACATTAACAGTCTTTTGTCTGTAAATGTGATAGAAATATTTTAATAGTGAAAACAATAAATTTAACACAAAACAAACTTTACTTTCTTAAACAGCATTTACATTATGTAATAACTAGCTATACTACGTGAATTACAAATAATATTAAGCATAAAAAATATTTTAAAAAGAAAATCGTGGTTGAGTTGGAGTATTGAAATTAACACATGCATGTAGGATCAGAGAAATTATCAGTACGCTAATTACTATTTATGATATGCTGATATATATAGATATATTCTTTTAAGCATATTTTTTCAGCAAAACATTACTGCAAAGTATTAATTACCAGAATTCGTAATAAACTCATGCCTAATTGTTAGACACAATTCTATGAATTTTGGATGTGTAGCTATATGAAATAATACCAGCTTTGTACTATTGTAATATAGTCTTCTTCATATGCTTACATACAAGATCTAGCTGGTTAAAAACATAAACAGATCTAATGTTAGCCTCAGCATACTTACTTTCACATCTCAGCCTAGATGAAAGTGTATTTGATTCAAGATAAAAGTTAAACACATAGAAATTGATAAAAAAAATGCAGATTTTTGTACGTAAGTTTGATTATAACTGAAGTGTTATCAATTTGCCTTGAAACAAACTTGTCTGTATTTATTGATATTGTGAATGTTTAATTTTGTGTAGGATCTACAATATGCTTGAATTTACTGTAGATGTTTTACTACTGTAAATGTTTTTTAAATTGTGGTTTGGAAATGACATGATATAACCATTAAAATGTTCAGGATATCTTTCATCCAAATTGCAAGTTCACCATGCACACCTCTTTACCATTGTGAAAAATGAAAAGCATGTACTGTTACCAAATTTACTGTTTGTAGCACATAGTGGTGGCTTGTGGAAATTGCTCTGCAGTTAGTGAAAAACACTGAAAATATTTTTCTTAAAGTCCTGATGAAGTTTAGTAAGAGTTGGGACATGTGCAGTTTAACTGTTACTTTTGGGAAATTCTTTGACACCAAGAAAATTGCTGATGGTTACAAGATTC